AACCCCCAAGGAAGCCAGGCAGGTTGAGGCGGGGAACCTGCTGCTCCGCACGACGATTTACTTCCTCTTCGTTGCCCTCCGCCTCGAAATCCCGGCGGTGATGGAGCACCCTGCTCCTCCCTTCCGTCTGGGGGCCCCTCGGCGTGGAAGCTCGACGAGCTGGAGTTTCTCCTCGGGCGGCCCGAGGTTGAGGGGGTCCTCATCGACCAGTGCGTTTTCGGGGCGCCGTCGATGAAACCTACTCTCCTCCTCTCGGTTCACCTTCCCTCTCTTGGCCGGGGGGCTCGGGCTGCTCGGGGGGGCGGGAGGTGCTTCCATGGCCCTCGAGGCCACGAGACCCTTGCGGGCATGGAGGGCAATTGGCAGTGGCGTACCTCTCTGGCTAAGGCGTACCCCCAGGGCATGCGCCGTCTTGCTGCTACTGCTTTCCTTCAGGCCTTCCAGGGGAGATGGCCGCATGTCTGGGGAGCCTCTTCGGAGGAGGTCGAGTCGGACTTTTTGGCCTTCTGGGAGCCCCTGGATCCTTACTTCACCCGAGTCATGGGCAACGACTTTGCTCGTGAACTCGCCAGCCCAGAGCCCTAGCGGGCCCGAGGCAACACGGTGCGAGGCCTCGGCTCGCCTTGCCCCTCTTGGGCGTCGGGACCCCGTTCCTGCCCTGGCAGGCTCCCGGGTTCACCGCATGCTTCGCGTGCTCTCTTTCGCTTTCGCTTTGGCCTTGTCCTGTCTCGTTTTCCCTTTCCTGGCGGGTGTCGCTTCGTGCACATCATCCTGACTCCAAGTCCAAAAAGGAGGAGGAGGGGAGGAGGGCCCCCTCCCCCTCCAACTTCTGGTGGTGGTGGTGGAAAACAGGCCCAGCAAGCTCTCCTGGTTGGCTGTGCACAGCCTCGCGTCTAGCACCAGGTGGCGCAGGGCGCGCCGCCGGCGCTGCAGCCACGGGCCCCATCCAGCCCTGATGCACCGGGCGCTCAGCACTGCCTGATAGACGCCCAGCTCTCCTTATGCGTTCGCCCCAGCTAATAATGCGCCCTTGGGGGGGTGGCTGCGGCCCCCGTCTGCGGGCGTGGCCGTGGGGTTGCCTCCTCCAGGTGCTGGCGCTGCTGCGGGGATGTGTCCTGGGCAGCTGCCGCGTCCTCTTCCTCGAAACGGACGCGCCTCACTCCCAATGCCGTGCTCTCGCGCGCTTCCTCCTTCGCCACGGGGGCAGTGGGGCTGGCGAGCTGTGGCGGACCAGGGAGGCGCCAGAAGTACTCGCCCTTTCCCCCTCCTGGCCCCGCCACCCCCCTGGCGAGCGCGAGCAGTGGCCGTCCTGCCCCCCCGCCCATCGGGCCCGCCCCGAGGTTTGATCCCGTCCTCCCCTGGTGTGGCACGCGCCCGGGCGGTGCACCTCGGGCTTGCTCATCGTCGTCAGCCTGTGGCCGACGTGCACAGAGGTCGTGTCTCTTGCCACGCCGGCTGCCACACCCGTCGTGCCCTGTTTCGCTTCCCAAAGGTACTTGTGGAACGAGGTACTGCTCCATCGTTCGAATGTCTTGATCAGCTCGACGTCCGGGTAAGTGTGGTAGAGGGCGATGGCTCCCCCGATGCGCAGCGAGTGCGTCCGCATGCGGTCGGCTGGGATGCCCTCTCTCGCGACCTGTTCGAGCACCTCCTGCAGCTGCTTCCTCTTCACGGGCGCCCCGTCTTGCCAGCGGCAAGGTGGTGGGTGCCTCTCGGTCGTGAAGCGTTCAACCACTCGGCCGCCAGCACCGGGCACAGGGCCTCGCCCGTGCAGTCGTGGTTGCGCGCCGCTCCCGCTTGCAGCTGGTCTGCCTTGGAGCCCTTCAACCAGTCGATGACCTCGTTGGCCTCCCTCAGGTTCGACGTGGGACGCCCATCGATGCGCGCGGCCACGTCGCCGCCCGTCAACACCTTGCTGCGATCCCAGCCCCCACTCCACGCGTACTCCCCGACCCGCATCAGGAATAACCAGGCGGTGGCCAGCGCGCACCAGATCACGGCGTGGTCCGGCACGTCGGCCAGGGTGCATTTGGCCAGGATCAGCGTCATGATACGCGCCGTGGTGGGCAGCTTCCGAGGGCGCACTCCATCGCGTCGCGCGAGAACAGCTCCTCTTCGCCGTTGCGGCGCGCGCCCGCCGTGGCCGCTTCCCCTTGGAGGATAGGCGACCGCCCTCGGATCCGACAGAAGTGTGTCCACCGCCTCCAGCCCAGCTCGTAGACCTTGCAGGTGCTGTCCGCGACCGCCTCCAGCACCAGCTGAACCTTTGCGTTCTCGAGGTCCTCGAAGTAGTGCTGGCCTCTGGTCGGGGTGCTGCCTGCGCGGCGTTGCGAGCGGTCCGTGGGCATCGCCCCGGCGTGCCGCGGGCGGCCCCCTCCTTCGTCTTCTGCGCGGAAGGAGGCCAGCGGGTCCCCTTGGGGCTCGTCCCCGGGCTCTGGCCTCAGCCCCACCGCCGCACCCTTGGGCAAAGGGGGGGAGGGGAGCTCGGCCACGGTGACCCGCCGCGCTGGCAGCGCCGGCGCGCCCGTCGGGGGTGCGCCACCGGACCGCTACCACCCCCGCATGCTGGGCGTCACCGGCGGCGGGGGTGGCAGTTGTGTGCTCTGCCGCTTGGGGGTCGGCCTCGCCCCCCCCCTCTGGCAGCGTGGAGCTGGTCCCTTCCCCGCTCGGCTCGGAGTCGCTGGCCGTCATCTCGATCGGCGAGCCCAGCGGGGTCGAGCCGACCGACACCGTCGAGCCCGCGGGTGTCGGGCCCGCCACTCCTCGCTTGGATGTCTGACGCTTCGGAGTCGAAGGGGGGGGGGGGCGGTGGGGTGCCGTCCCGGCGCCGATCCCACTGCCGGCGGGGCGGGGGTCTTGCGGCGGCGCTGGCGGGGGGCCTCGTGGTACCCACCCGGCGGGGGGGGCATAACCTGTGCCGCGGGCAGCGGGCGCCGCGGCGGGGGCGTCGGGTCTTACGGTGGGGCCTTCACTTCCGGCAGCCAGCACGCGCGGGACCCGCAGTGGCCTGATGTCGAAGCGGAATCCTGTCAGCATCGCGGGGGGCATGTCCGGCGGGTTCTTCGGCCGCGGCGCTGTCTCCACCAGCGATGATGCCGGCGGGGGAACCTCGTGCCCACGCCACGCCGGCCGCCGCGGGCCACGAAGGGGAAGCCCGTCCTCATCTGCGCGCACAGGCTGGGGCCTGGCGCGGGTGTCCTTCTCCCCATTCGGCTCTTCGGACGACGAGGTGGGGTCGCAGGGCGCGACCTCGCGCGACTGGGGCAGGTCCCGCATGGGCGCCGCGATCGGGGCCCAGATGTCCGGCGGCGGCCGCCCCTCTCGGAGCCATTGCGCCGCCTCCGGGTTGCTGCGGTGGTGGGCCACGGGGTCCCCTCGCAGGCTCTCCCTCGGGGCCGCTGGCTGCAGCCACAGGAGCAGCTCGTCCCCTGGGCAGGCCCGGCGCTCCCCTCGCAGGCCCCTGGGGGCTTGGCACAGAGTAATTTACAAGGGGTCGCTGCGCTGGGAGCGAACCCACGAATTTACAAGGGATCCTGGAGATGGGAGCTCGGACGCAGCGTAATTTACAATGAAATGTGGCACTGGGAGCGCGAATTCAGTGTCATTCGCCAGGGGTTGTGGCCCTTGCTCGGAGCACGGACGCGGCTTAATGTCCGAGGGATCGTTGTCTTGGCAGCATAATTCACGAAGGATTGAAGCCCTGGGAGCGCAGACGCGGCCTGATTTACGAAGGATCGCGGCCCTGGGGGCGCGGGCGCAGCGCGATTCACGAGTGATCGCGGCCTTGGGAGCGCGGCCCCGTCGTAATGCGTTTGTTTCTCGGTCCGTCGCGTGTGGCCCTGTTTCTGGATCCGCGGGGTCTGGGGGAGCGAGGGTCTGGGGGAGGGGGGGAGTGGGGGGTCTGTCCTCTCCCCTTCCGCTCCTATCTACTTTCGGCGTGCCTTCATGGTACCTTCGCTGACTTGGACGCGCGTACCTTCATCGGACCTTCGGCGTACCTTCAAGAACGCTTCTTATCCAAAGCACTACAGAAACCGCGTACCTTCAGCGTACCTTCAATAAGTGTGTCCGACATACCTTCAGAGTACCTTCGGCATATTTTCGGCACACCTGCGTAATGTACCAGGGATCGAGCGTAATTGATTAGGCATCTTGGCACTGGGAGCGCGAATCCATCGTAGTTTGCGCGGGGTCGCGGCGCTGGCAGCGCGGACCTTGCGTAATTTACGAGGGATCGTGGTCTTGGGGAAACGGACGCAGCAGCACTTACCAGTGATCGTCGCACTGGGAGTGCGGGCCCAGCGGCATTTGCGACGGTTCGGAGCCCAGGGAGCGCAGACACAGCGTAATTTACAAGGAATGGCGTGGCCCCCGACATCTCGACCAACAACGGGGCGCGGAGATCCTAGGAGGCTCCAGGTGATCCGCGGCACGTCCGTTGGCGCGTCCCGTGCCGCATCCCGTGGCACGTCCCCTGGCGCGTCCCCTGACACGTTCCCTGGCATGTTCCTTGGCGCGTCCTGTGGCGCGTCTTCCTGGCACGTCGCGCGGCGCGTCCCCTGGCACGTCCTGTGGCACGTCCACCACCGCGTTCCGTGGCGCGTCCTCTTGGCACGTCCCGCGGTGGGTCTCCATGGCACGTCCATTGGCACGTCCACTGGCGCGTCCTTTGAGACGTTTCCATGTCTCGCAGTTCGAAATCCCTTTCCAGGTTCGTGGGTCGACCATGTCTTCCCTCCCTCTTGTTGGCGCGTGCCGATCTCGCGGCCCGGAGCCAGTCTGGCCTGGCCCGGCGCGCGCGGGCGGTTGGCGCGCCCCCGCGCCCGATAGCCGTGGCCTTGGGTCGGGCGTGTCCTCCAGGCGGATTTTGGACGAAAAATAAAGATAGTCCAAAAATATTCCAGAATACTCCAAACATCGTCCCCCGACTGTGTTGGGACTACTTTTGAAGAATCCCCCTGTAGAGAGTCACGCCAGACTTACCCGTGGCCTGGCGCGGCAGGCCCGAGCCAGAAATGGCAGTGTTTCATGGCGCCGGCCGCCCCGCGAAGCCGCGCGCCCGCGCGCGGCACCCGCGGCGGGCGCCGTGTTGCCCCGCGGGGCGAGGCCGCGAGGAGATGGGCCGTGTGGCTGCTGGTTCTCTCGAGCGCTGACCCAGCGCGGAGGGCAAGAACTACGGTGGGGGCATTGGACAAGGCACCCTTAGATAAGGAAGCCAGGGTCTGGAAGCCGGTGGAACTGAAATCGTGGATCGGCCATGGATATCACCGCCGCCCTCATCAGATAAGGAACCCTCCAGGGTCTGAAGCCTCCTGGGCACGTTCCTTGACCAACGCCCCTACCGTATGCACCTGTACCGATCCCTGGCCCAGGATGGGCCTTGCCAGGACCGGTGTGCGCGTATGGTTGTCGTCCTCCCACCAGCGGTTTGGAAAGCATGTGCCGTGGCCCGCCAGACGCGCTGGGGCTGGAGCCCATCGGGCTTCTGCATGCCAGCCATCAGCAAGAGCCTGCGGACGCTGCCGTGCTGCCTCGCCGCCGTGCGATGCCGTCGCCTTGCGGCCGGGCGCGGCGCAGGCCGCCTCTGCGGTTCCGGGCTCGGGGTCATGCGCAGAGCGGCTGCTTCGGCGCGAGATAGCCACCAGGAGCCCGACTGCGGTGCAGGCGCGGCGGGTCGCGAAGGGGCGGAGGGCTTCGAGCAGGAGTTGGTCAGTGCAGATCTCGGTCGGCACTGGAGCGTGTCCGTGCGTGCAGCTGGCGAGCATGCCGTCATCACGAGGCGCTGGGGGAAGGTTGGCGGTAAGCTGCAGGTGGACGAGCGGAACGTCTCCGAGTCCAAGAACATCGGCTGGACGAACGAGCGCAAGCCCATGCAGGTAGCCAACGACATGGCCGCGTCCTTTGCCCAGAAGAAGATCGACAGCGGCTACAGGCCTGCCGCGGTTTCTGGCACGAAGGCGGCGCCAGGCGCAGAGATGCCACAGGTCATGCTCGCACGCAACTATTCCTCGACCGCCCTCGGCACTTTTCCTGGCGCTGGCTCGGACGCGTGGACTGCCGTGATACAGCCGAAGCTCGACGGGGTGCGCTGCCTGGTGAGGCTGAACTTGACGGCGCCATCGCCACCCGAGCTGTGCACCAGACAGCGGAAGCCCCTCACCCACCTGAAGTTGCTGGAGCCAGGTCTCAAGAAGGTTCAGGGGCGTCGGGGAGGGATGCGCTCGGGGGGGGGGGGAAGGCATCGAACCCCAATCACCCAATCATCGCCGATGGGGGCCCGATACGTAGCCCACCCCGCCCAGGAACGTGCGGTTTCGCCATCGGGGGACTATCGCCGATCCATCCGCGCTGCACCGCCGATTCCAAGTCGAAGTCGATGTTTCCCCCCCCATGGGTCAGCCCCCCAAAAGGGTTCCCCCTCAAAGGTGCGCAGCGCCGCCGCGAGGGTCCTCCAGGCAGGGCCCGGCGCCGGGCTGGTGCCCGGCCCGCTGTTCCTGGACGGCGAGCTGTACGCACATCGGGGGCGGCAGGGAGGGGGGGTGATGACTAAGGGGGGTGTGGATGTCAGGCTTCATGGCGCCTCGTCTTATCTCTTTACGTCCCTGCCCCCCCCGTGGGCTGCGCACATGCCGCGGGCCATGATTTGCGCCCTCCTCCTCTTGGACGCCCCCTTCTTGGCCGCCCCCGAGCACATGGCGAGCTCACGTTCCAGGATCGAGGGAGCGCGTGGCTCGAGTTTGCCCGCGTTCGGGCTTAGCGGCGCTGTTTGGCGGGCCCGTCATGGATTTGACGGTCCAGTTCTCGTGGGGCGTGTGCAGCGGGAGTTGGTGTCAGATTTCAGATTCGGTCCCATCATTTTCTTGATGGCCCCGTCAGGCCAACCCGAGTCCCCCGAACCCGAGGATCGAAATGGGTACGGATAGAATTGAAGCGAAGACCAACAACAATTCTTGTCCATTTTTGTTGACTGCACATGCTAATCTGTAGCCCCTTGGTCCAAGTAAAAACCATCAACATGGTAGCGGAGCGTGCGTGAGCACGTTCCTGCCGCCGCTTCCCTTCCAGCCACCCGCGGCGCGCGCGCGCGCCAGCGATAGGGCAGCGGCGAGGGCTGCGCCCTCCTGGCGGCTGGCAGCGGCGTGAGCTGCGCCGGCCGGCCCTTCCTAGCCCAGCACGCCGCCGAAGAAGAAGAGGAAGCGTGGCTCAAGGTCGAACAAGGCGGACATCCTGAGGAGCCGGAAGTTCGACGAGAAGCTCGACAGGAAGTATGGAAGAGATCGAGCGACGCTTCCAGGCGCTAGAGGGAGCGTTGCAGGCTGCCGAACAACGGGTGCAGGCTGCAGAGGAGCGCGCCCTGGCGGCGGAGTCAGCAGCAGCGAGCGCAGGCGCCGCGGCGAGCAGGCCCGTGGCAGCGGCGAGGGCTGCGCCACAGGATCTAGTGGACACTCGGCTTCTGGCGAAGCCGAAGGCGTTCGGAGGCAGCGAGGACGAGCGGCCGGGATGGAGCTTCAAGATGCTCGCGTACCTCGGGGCCCTCGACGAGATAATGGCCAACGAGCTGACGGCGGCTATGACGTTCCCGCTGGAGGAGGTGAGGAACGCGAGGCTCCTGGAGGAAGGAGCGAGCCAGCGCAGTCGTCAGTTGTACTTCATCCTCGTCCTGCTGCTGGAAGGAGCTGCACTCCAGCTGATCAAGCCGGTCGGCGTCGGAGAAGGGTATCGGGCGTGGAGGACACTACAAGACATGTACGAGCCCGACAGACCCGGTCGCCACGCAGGACTGCTGCAGGAGCTGATTGCGTTCCAGTTCCCGGAGGACAACATCGTGGGGACGCTGGCGGACTTCGACTTCAAGGTCACGAAGTACGAGAGTCAGAGCCACGAGAGGATCGGGGACAGGATCAAGATGGCGATCCTTCAACGGGGGATTCAGGACGAAGCTCTTCGAGCGCACCTGGTCCACAACGCGTCGAGGCTGGTCACGTGGGAGCTCATGCGCAACGAGGTGCACATGGTGATCTCGACGAGGAGCGCCATCTCATCAGTGCCGCCGCCGGTCCCGATGGACACGAGCGCCGTGGAGAAGGCGAGGCGCGAGCGCGACAAGGGCAAAGGAAAGAAGGGCAAGGAAGGCAAAGGCAAGAAGGGCAAGGGCGGCGACAACTCCACGGACCAGAGGAGCCAGGCGGCCAAGGACAGGGCCGAGAAACGGTGCTTCCACTGCCACAAGACCGGTCACATCAAGAGCGAGTGCAGGAAGTTCCTCGCAGAGCAGAAGAAGAAGAAGGGCACCAACGCGGTCGAGCAGGAGTCGAAGCCGACGGGAGCTCCGCCAGCGGCGAGCGCCGCGGGGAGCGCGGCGCCGGTGATGGCGATCGCGACCGAGGGCGGGGCAGAGCCACTTTGGTGCCTCGCGATCGAGCTGGAGGAAGGGCAGGAGTCGTCGTCGACTGGAGCAGCAGCGACGCCCTTAGCACCAGCGACGACAGCGATCCACCTTCGTTCGAGCGAGCCGTCATCAGGCACAGCGCAGCCGAGGCAGCCATTCTTGGTCGGTGCCAGCCCGATCGAGCAGCTGAGCCAGCCAGGGGCAGCAAACGAGCACGAGACGTTCGAGAGCAAGGAGATCATCGGTATCAATGAGCACTGGGTCATGGTGGATTCGGGTGCTGCGCGATCGGTGTGTCCGCCGAGTCACGGGGCCCACGAGGCACTCAGAGGCCTGAGCGAGCGCATCCGGCTGGTCGGAGCGAGCGGCGACGACATCCCGTGCCACGGCGAGCGCTTCGTCACGTACACGAAGGACGGGCACAAGATCGGGGTGGACTACAAGGTCGCCGACGTCAAGAGGCCGGTGCTGGGCGTGTCGCAGGCGGTCGACAAGGGCACGTCGTGGGTATTCACGCCGAGCGGGAGCTACATGATCCCGAAGCCGATCGAGTTCTCGGACCCGGACGCCGTGCCGCTGGTCAGGCGCAACGACTTGTTCTACCTCAAGATGGACAAGTACGGTGAAGGCGTCAAGAACTCGCTCGTCATGCCGGTGCGGGGCGAGGAGCCGGGAGGCGAGGCCGGCGGCGCATCAGCTGCGTCCAGGGCAGCGGCGAGAGCCGCGCTCCAGGGCGGCGGCGGAGGAGCTGCCGCGACTCACGCTCAGGCCGAGGCGAGCGAGCCGGCAGCGCAGGCAGTGCTCGAGGAGTCCGTGCCGGTTCGAGTCAAGAAGGATCCGGTGAAGCCAAGCCTGGCCGAGCAGAGGACGCACGAGCTGGTGCACATTCCGGCGAGGTCCTGGTGCTGGGTGTGCGTCAGATCCAAGTTCACGGACGACCCGCACTACAAGGCCGGGCACGAGCGCACGGGCGACGAGGTCCAGATCGACTATTACTTCCTGGGCCAGCTGAGCATCCTCAACATGGTGCACATGAACTCCCAAGCTATTCATGGCATCATGGGGCCGAAGGGTACCGACGCCTACATGGTCAAGACAGCGGTCGCCACCATCGAGAACTGGGGGCTGGATCGCATCGTGCTGAAGCACGACCAGGAGGCGTCGATCACGGCCCTGGCGAGGGAGATCAAGGCTCAGCGGAAGGCGCCCACGATGGTCGAGTCAGCTCAGCGGGCTAACCATCAGGGAGTCGGTGGAGTGGAGCGCGCCAACGAGGAGCTCGGCAAGCAGATCAGGGCGCTGCTGTTCTCGGTGGGCGACAACTACAAGCGGGAGCTCCCAGCCGATCATGGGCTTCTACCTTGGCTCATTCGGCACGCTGGCTGGCAGCTCAACCGCTTCACGGTGCACGGCAACGGCAAGACGACCTACGAGGTGCTCAAGGGGAGGCCATATCGAGGCGAGCTCGTCAACTTCGCGGAGTGCGTCTGGGCGAGGGACCCCACGCCGACCTCCAAGCTGCAGCCTCGGTGGCACGCGGCGGTGTGGCTGGGCAAGACAGAGGTTTCGGACGAGCACCTGGTGGCGGGTCCAACGCGCACGACGAGGGTGCGCACGGTGAGACGGCGACCGGAGGGCGAGCGGTTCGTGCTGGAGGAGCTGGACAAGTTCGCTGGGGCGCCGTGGGACATGCGCCGGGCTCCACAGATCGGCATCGTGCCGGCGGGAGCGCCCCAGGTGGAGCCGAATCAGCAGCGGCTGATGCCGCCACCTCCGCCACCGCCAGTGGTCTTACCGGCTGCAGGCCCGGAGGCGCTGGTGCCACCAGCGATGGTCGGGCCGGCGCCGCCCGCGGGGCCAGGAGGCGCAGGGCTGAGGTCGACGTACATCACGAGGGCGTTGATCGACAAGTACGGCTGGACCCCCATGTGCCCGAGGTGCGTCACAGGCATGGGATCGCACAGTGAGGAGTGCCGGAAGAGGATCGAGAACGAGCTGCGCAAGGAGGAGATGGCCAGGGCAGCGGCGGGGGCCGCGCCCTCGTCGGCAGCGGCGGGAGCTGCGCCGACGCCGGCGGCGGCTGGGGCCGCGCCGGAGCCAGCGGCTGGAGCTGGAGACGGCAGGCCAGGATCGTCCGGGGACGCCAGCATGGCACCTCGCGATGACCAGGGCGAGGCGGCGGCGAAGAGGCCGCGCCAGACAGCGGCGATCACAGTCGGGTCGCTCGCGGTCGGGGCCTTCGTGGAGATCAATCCCTACACGTACGAGGGCCTGGACCAGCAGTCCCACGAGGAGCTCGAGACGGTCACGGAAATCGAGAGCTGCGAGCCGCTGGAGATCGGGATGTTCGAGGTCAGCCCCGTCGAGCCGGCGGCGATCACGGTCCTGCCAGACACGGAGAAGCACGTGTACGACGCGAGGAGCGGGAAGGAGCTCCCCAGGGACCTGGTCAGGCGCGGGCGCGAGGCCGAGATCGAGGAGATGCGGCGACACGGCGTCTTCGAGGAGGTCCGCGTGGCTGAGAGCCGGGGCAAGGTGGTGCGTTTCAAGTGGGTCGAGGACCTGCGCACCAAGGACGGCACCTCCTTCGTCCGGTCCCGAGGCGTCGCCATGGAGATCAACACGTACGGCCGAGAGGACTGCAACGCGGGCACGCCGCCGATCGCCATCGTCAGGGCGATCGTCTCCTTGGCGGCGACGAAGAAGGGTCGGAGGCATCTCTCGGTGCATGACGTGCACGTGGCGTTCTTCCACGCCGACCTCGACGAGTGGATCGTCGTCATCCCGCCTCCAGGACTTAGGAGAGACGGGTACGTGTGGCAGCTCCGGAAGGCCATGTACGGCACGCGCAAGGCGGCACAGGCTTGGCAGGAGTACGTGGCCGGGGTGTTCAAGAAGAACAACTGGACGCGCATCGCGGTGGCGGCGGGCGTGTACCACGAGTCTCTCTTGGACATGACCTCGGCGATCCACGGTGACGACATCCTGACCGAGGGCGAGGAGGAGTCCCTGGATGTCCTGGACCAGCAGCTGATGGCGAGCATGGACGTCAAGTGCATCGGTCGTGTCGGGCCGGATGGCGTTCGCGAGCTCCCATACCTCAAGCGCAAGATCAGGTGGACGGGCAAGGGGTTCGTCTGGATCGGCGACACGAAGCACGTGACGAGGTGCGTGGAGCTGCTGGGCCTTACGGAGTGCAAGCCGGCGGACACGCCTGGGAGCAAGGCCACGGGCAAGAGCGTCCGGGAGGCGCTGGATCCACTTCCACACGACGAGGCGAAGCTCTACCAGCAGGTCGCGGGGCTCGTCAACTACGTGGCGGT